GAAAAGCTCCCCCCCCCCCCCCGGGCCTGATTTTGCCCACCCCTGCTCTACCCAGATCTAGTGGAGTTTAAAGTATTCATGAGCCAGCTACTGGATCCACATGCAATAGGCAGCTAACCATTCACAGCGTATTAGGTCAGCATGTAAGTATGTGGAAAAGCCATTTTCCATGCCAAGTAATGCAAAGCAGCTTTTTCATTATTTCTTCAGCTCATCAAAATATATATTTACACCCCAGATTTCAGTGCATCAGCCTAATTCAAGGTCACAGTGACAAGTTAATAATAATAGTCGGAAGTAGCTATCTGAAAATATACAGATGTCCACAATACCTTTTTACTAGCTGAAACTGTTTCACAGGCTCACTGCTCCTGAAGATGATTTAGCCCCCCCTTCTCCCGTGAGTAGTTTAAATCATATTTGCTTGTATGCAATATTTTGCCTGCTTCCCTCTTTCAACTGTTATTTAATAGCGGACTAGGAGGGGGTGCATATGCATGAGACTCTGCTCTCTCAAATCTTCTTTCATCAAATTCAGCTCTGTCCTTATGCAGAAAAATAAGCAGGATCACAATGGAAGAGACGTGCTGTCACTTACTGACACAAAAGCAGCTCAGTGCAAAGAAAAGACCATTTGAAAACATCTGGTCACATCTGAACAGCAGCACTGCTCATATGGCCTGACTCAGCTTTGTACTACTAGCTGAGCAGGCAAGCAGGAAGGGCAGAGGAGGAACTCCTGTATACTCCCTTTCCCCAGCCTTTCCAGCTATAACACATGACTGAAGCACAGCATATGAAGAAAAAAGTTTTACAAATGTGTAACAGAGTAAACCAACTGCACTTTGGAGTTTGGACTAAATCTTCCTTAAAAGCAGGTAGAGCAATGGAAAGTAAAAAGGAATTCAGGATTTGCAATATTGGATTGGGCAAGTGATCTGTGCACTCCAGCAGCTTGTCTCCAATGGAAACCATTAGTTAGAGTGAGTACTTTAAGTAGCCATGTCTGAAATAGGCTTATGGACAGAGAATTCTTGGAGCTGTAGCAATGAGAGTGCAGAGATTTGCACAGCCTGCTATTATTGAGAAATAACCACACTGGTGTTTGTCAGTTCAGTATACGGTGGCTGCAACGATTCTACTTCTGCATTTCATTTAATGTTTCATCTGCATTTTCATTTAATGTTTATTTTAGCAGAACCTCCATTTTTTTTAATTAATTTGTGGTTAACTGGCCTTTTGTAAATATACTTATCTTTTTATTTTCTTCTAATTTGCAGAAGTGCTTTAAGAAATGGTTATAATGCCCCTGATGCAGGATTGAGTCCATACTCACTATACAGAGTGCTGACAAATGGGGCCCAATACTCTTGGCTTAAGGCGGTTACTCACATGCTTAAATACAAATGCATTCTTAAATACTTTGCTGGGTTGGACCAGGATGCTCAGCATCTGATACGATCGAATCTTATATGACCAGCATGTGAACCTGTGATATAACCATATATAGTTCACTTTCTTATTTGAATGTTGCTTACTTACATCTTTCAGGAGCCTGGTCAATATGGTCTGGACAAAGGAGGGAGAAGTTACTGAAATCCTGAAAGGTGCCTGCTCCAGCAGCACAGGGGTAATGGTACGTCTGGGCACATTTCTCTTCACAGCATTTGATAGTGGCTCCAAGGTGCTTACAATATGCACATCGCTGAAAAACAGACACGCAGTTCTTTTTATGATGAAAACTGAACACAAAAGCTACAAAATTTGCAGAAGAAATCTCTTTATTGCACAACTCAGAAAATCCATGTTCAGTTCAGCCACTGCGGCCCAAACAATGCCAAAAGTTTTAGTCACAGAAGCAATGCTACGACCAGGTACCTACCCTATAGATTTACACTCTGTAGAGATGACTCACAGCTTTGAATCTGGTGCTCTCTCATGGTCATTCTGACTAAAGCTTTTTTTTTCTTTTTTTTTTTTTCAGATCGATTAAGAGTACATTGAGCAGCTTAACACCGCTAGTGAATGGTAGAACTCCCACTGACTTCACTGGAAGCAAAGCTAGGGCAACGCTGAAAAATGTTGAAAGTTCCAACCCTAAGCTACAACACGCTCAGCATTCTGAGGTGCACTACATGGCAGCAATTCCTAGGATGGCAAACATCAACATACAATCAAAATCTATTCTCATTATTTACTGTTGTCTATATAAACGGATTATCATCAGTTGCAAGAACCGTATGTTTCATGTGCATAAATCTTCTCTGGTAACTTCTGACTTTTTGATGAGGTGGGGAAAATATATTTCCTTTACTTTTTATCTATTTGTCTAATTTCAGTTTGTTTTTTTTATAAAGAGGCCTGTAAAGTAATTCAGAATAGTGCATACAAAGGCATTGTATGCTGGTAAGGGCTGTTACTAGAAATGGTAGAATTCTGATATTGTGAAATAACAGCATACATTAGAATATGAAACTACGTGAAAGTGAACAGGACATGAAAGTGAACAGGAAGTATCATGTTCTCTTTAAAGGATCAATGCATTAGACATTGTATGGAGCAACCCTGACTGACAATGTGATGGATTAGATGACCCAGTATTTCTTTACCATCTCTAATTACTATCATTCTGTGATACACAAGTTCAGGCAACAGACATACTTTGCACGGAATCAATACATCATTAATGACCACATGTGTGTATGTGAAAAGAGAATTCCCCATAAAGAGCTAACAATTTGTCACAGAGCCACGCGACATGAAGTTCCTTCTTCATGACAGGTACACCTACCTTAGTTTCCCTTTCTGAGCCCCCTGAAACAGTCTTTCCTAATGCCAATAGCCTTGTGAGGCTAAGTTGTTACCAAAGAAAATTCCCCATGCACACAAGTCCCAATTCCGCAGTGCAGATGTTTCAAATGCAGCCCTGGTGCCCTCACCGCACCCCCACTCTCCAGCACAGATCTAGCGTCCCACACCTTGCCCTAGCTCTCCAATCAGCCCTACTTCCCAGAATAGTCCTCTCTGAGTGTCTGCCAGGGTAGCCACCCCAGTCTTTCCAACTAAGGTGCACCCCTATTCTCCCCAGTGAACCCTCCTCCCCCCCACCCCACCCCCCAGACTCTGCTGGCATCATCCTCACCATGGGAGCAGGCCTATCATGGGAACCTATCATAGTTCTCCTGGCTCCAGTTTTCTGGCGCTGGAGATATCAGCAAGTTAGCTCATCCTGCCTTCAGTCCCTGCCTCGTATGACTGGAAGACACCAGCCAGCAAACCCCTTTTGTTCCTGGGAGAAGACTGAAAGAGAAAGAGCAGACACATTCTGCTTTCTTCTAGACTCCTCCAAGCCCTTCGTTTTTGGCAGGTCTCACTTGCTCATCCTGACAACCAGTCTGCTCTGACCTGCTGGAACCTCAACCTCTCTGGGACTCTCCCTGATTTTCTGTAGTCCCGTGGTGCTGTCCCACCCTCTTAACTACCGAATGGGAGCACCTATTCTGGTACAAGGGAAATGAACCTACTTCATTCATATAGGCCAGCCACTCTGTAACACAACCCCTCTGTTTGAGGTTGGGTGAGGAATTCTATCATCTCTCACACACACACACACCTTTCTGATTCAGTTCATCAATCCTTTTCAGTCTTGGATCTCATTACAATCCCCAAAGTACTGCTACATGTTTTTATACTTTTTGGGGGCATGGAGGAGACACAACATAGACAAATATAGAAAATTTGGAATAAACTGATGAAAAATAGGTCCATGGTTTATGGAAAAGCAACCTTTCCAGAATGGTGTGCCAAGATTTAACCCTCCTGCCTTGGGCCATGCCATTCTCCCAGGGGAGGGAGAGGGGCTCTCTCCACCGCGCACCTCATGGACAACCTGGGTCAATGCAAATCTCTCCACGGACTACCAGTAGCAAATGGAAACTCACCATTAATTACATAATTATGCCTGAGCCATTTTGCTAGTGTTGCAGCAGGGGAGAATGGTTTAATTTAAATTATTAAACAGATTAAGCATTTTAACTTTTTCATGGTAGTTTCTCAAACGTAATTAAAAAAAATTAAAATATGTCCAACACAAAAGGTTTCAATGGTTTCTTTATTTGTGGAAGCAGTGGGGAACCTTTTTTGGGTTGCGGGTCACTAACCTACAGAAAGATCAATTGGATCACACAAGTGAGAAGCAAAAATACTCCTCCAAACCCCCCCAACCCTCACTGATGTGGCCCCCAACTGAGACACCTCAATCTTCTGGCACTCCAGCCCCACAGGGTGAGGGGAAGGGACAGGGAGGACTGAGATTAAGGGCATCCTATAGGCCAGATTTACTTTTCTGGGGTTCCAGAGTTAGTGGATTTTGTGGACCTCCTTAGGCTCTGGGGTGGAAATAAAAATGAGGGGTTCAATGTGTGAGACAGGGCTGCCAGTGAGTGGGACAGGGATGCAGGATCTGGATGGGAGGTGGGGTGCAGGATGGGGTAAGGAGGATAGGGTCTGAAAGGGAATTTGGGGTGGGGTATGAGAGGAAGTTTAGGAGTGGGAGGTGTTTGGGGAAGTAACACAGAAAAGGTGAGAGAGTGAGAATGTACCCAACAATGCTGGGGGGGAGGGAGGGGAGAGAAGAGGAGGGGAGTAAAGAAAAGTGCAGCTTCTGAAAAGTAAAATTGTATCCCCCCCTCACATCTTCCCTCTGCTCTAGCCTCACTCCCTTCAGCCTCAGGATCTCCCCAGCTTTTTCCCTGCAGCCTCCCATTACAACACGCTCAGCATTCTGAGGTGCACTACATGGCAGCAATTCCTAGGATGGCAAACATCAACATACAATCAAAATCTATTCTCATTATTTACTGTTGTCTATATAAACGGATTATCATCAGTTGCAAGAACCGTATGTTTCATGTGCATAAATCTTCTCTGGTAACTTCTGACTTTTTGATGAGGTGGGGAAAATATATTTCCTTTACTTTTTATCTATTTGTCTAATTTCAGTTTGTTTTTTTTATAAAGAGGCCTGTAAAGTAATTCAGAATAGTGCATACAAAGGCATTGTATGCTGGTAAGGGCTGTTACTAGAAATGGTAGAATTCTGATATTGTGAAATAACAGCATACATTAGAATATGAAACTACGTGAAAGTGAACAGGACATGAAAGTGAACAGGAAGTATCATGTTCTCTTTAAAGGATCAATGCATTAGACATTGTATGGAGCAACCCTGACTGACAATGTGATGGATTAGATGACCCAGTATTTCTTTACCATCTCTAATTACTATCATTCTGTGATACACAAGTTCAGGCAACAGACATACTTTGCACGGAATCAATACATCATTAATGACCACATGTGTGTATGTGAAAAGAGAATTCCCCATAAAGAGCTAACAATTTGTCACAGAGCCACGCGACATGAAGTTCCTTCTTCATGACAGGTACACCTACCTTAGTTTCCCTTTCTGAGCCCCCTGAAACAGTCTTTCCTAATGCCAATAGCCTTGTGAGGCTAAGTTGTTACCAAAGAAAATTCCCCATGCACACAAGTCCCAATTCCGCAGTGCAGATGTTTCAAATGCAGCCCTGGTGCCCTCACCGCACCCCCACTCTCCAGCACAGATCTAGCGTCCCACACCTTGCCCTAGCTCTCCAATCAGCCCTACTTCCCAGAATAGTCCTCTCTGAGTGTCTGCCAGGGTAGCCACCCCAGTCTTTCCAACTAAGGTGCACCCCTATTCTCCCCAGTGAACCCTCCTCCCCCCCACCCCACCCCCCAGACTCTGCTGGCATCATCCTCACCATGGGAGCAGGCCTATCATGGGAACCTATCATAGTTCTCCTGGCTCCAGTTTTCTGGCGCTGGAGATATCAGCAAGTTAGCTCATCCTGCCTTCAGTCCCTGCCTCGTATGACTGGAAGACACCAGCCAGCAAACCCCTTTTGTTCCTGGGAGAAGACTGAAAGAGAAAGAGCAGACACATTCTGCTTTCTTCTAGACTCCTCCAAGCCCTTCGTTTTTGGCAGGTCTCACTTGCTCATCCTGACAACCAGTCTGCTCTGACCTGCTGGAACCTCAACCTCTCTGGGACTCTCCCTGATTTTCTGTAGTCCCGTGGTGCTGTCCCACCCTCTTAACTACCGAATGGGAGCACCTATTCTGGTACAAGGGAAATGAACCTACTTCATTCATATAGGCCAGCCACTCTGTAACACAACCCCTCTGTTTGAGGTTGGGTGAGGAATTCTATCATCTCTCACACACACACACACCTTTCTGATTCAGTTCATCAATCCTTTTCAGTCTTGGATCTCATTACAATCCCCAAAGTACTGCTACATGTTTTTATACTTTTTGGGGGCATGGAGGAGACACAACATAGACAAATATAGAAAATTTGGAATAAACTGATGAAAAATAGGTCCATGGTTTATGGAAAAGCAACCTTTCCAGAATGGTGTGCCAAGATTTAACCCTCCTGCCTTGGGCCATGCCATTCTCCCAGGGGAGGGAGAGGGGCTCTCTCCACCGCGCACCTCATGGACAACCTGGGTCAATGCAAATCTCTCCACGGACTACCAGTAGCAAATGGAAACTCACCATTAATTACATAATTATGCCTGAGCCATTTTGCTAGTGTTGCAGCAGGGGAGAATGGTTTAATTTAAATTATTAAACAGATTAAGCATTTTAACTTTTTCA